AATTAATAATGATATCACTGACCTTGCTTGCCTGTAATGAGAAATAAATAAATTAATCCAAGGAAAAGCTTTTAGAACAGGAATGGGCAGTAATTAAACACTTGGAAAATGTTAGTACTGTTACTTAGTGACTGGAGCTTGAAAAATGGTCCACCTGTGGCCTTTTAAATAAAAATAATACACATCTGTTTACTTATAGATCAGAAACTGACTGCAACCAAAGTATGAATTTGATAATTTTTGTACCAAAATGCTTCTTTGTCCCGCATTCCACCAGCCAGAAATTCTCTCTTTCTTCCTTCCTCTTAAGGGGAATATGATATGTCCTTCTCAATTCCCTAAGCCCCTGGCCATTGGTTAGGAACCTGAGGATTTGTTGCCACCATCTCCAAACCCCATAGAACTTAGCTGTCTTATAAAATTTTTCCTTCAAGTTCAAGTTGCCTTGGCTTCCCCAGTTGATCATAGCAGTTCATTTCCATCCAGTTCATTACACAGTCATTTATTTGCAACCCTGCTGTGTGCCTGGTGATGTTTGGTGCTTTCGATGCAAATTTGCCATTTTATAAATGGCTCCTATCTTGCCATATAAATGGCCCAATTCTAGTTCAGAAGATATATATGTAAATCAGCATTCCCTACTCAATATGATAAATATTATGGTAAAAATTATTGTGGGGCAGCAGAATATGAGATAACTGATTGTGTCTGAACTGTGAATGCCTAGCACAAGAAAGCTGTTCAACTGCACGGCTTCCTCCTCTCCGCAGGTAACAAGGGCATTTAACTTGTGATCCACAAAAATGTGTTATCCAACTTTAAAGATTAGAAGGCCAGGAAGTGTAGAGAGGAAAATGAGTATAATATCCCTAAGGGTGGAAGAGGACTATATCTGTCAGATTTGTAGCACTGTATCCCTGGGATATACATTTTATATGCGATCACATAGTACATAAAAATCAGTGTGTGCACACTAAGTCACTTCAGTCATGTCCAGCTCTTTGGACTGTAGCCCGCGAGGGACTCTGTCCCTGCGATTCTCCAGGCAAGAATACTGGGGTGTGTTGTTATGCCCTACTCTGGGGGATCTTCCCAACCCAGGGATCCAACCCGCATCTCCTGCATTGAAGGTGGATTCTTTACAACTGAGCCACCAGGTAACCCCATATAAAAATTAGACAGGATCCTAAATGTACTTTTTACCTTTTGGTAAGCTCAAATACCTAGCTTTGCATTTAATTACATACTACTTTCTGATTTCTATGTGTTTTGACTGATTCCATTTGGAAATGCAGCATATGTGAAAGTGTGAAGTTTCTCAGTCGTGTCCTACTCTTTGCGACCCCATGGACTGTAGCCTACCAGGCTCCACCGTCCATGGGATTTTTTCAGGAAAGAGTACTGGAGTGGGTTGCCATTTCCTTCTCTAGGGGATTTTCCTGACTCAGGGATTGAACCTGGTTCTCGGATCAAACCTGGGTCTCTGATCGAACCCAGGTCTCCTGCATTGCAGGCAGATGCTTTACCCTCTAAGCCACCAGGGAAGCAGTATATGTGGGTTTGCCACAAATTACCTAAGTGGTTTAGAAAGAAGTATGAGATTGTGGGAAAGTATGCATATCGGAATTTAGAAAACCTGAGTGCACATCTATCCTTTGACTCCTCTTAGGTGTTCTTTATTTCTTCTCAGCTGTGTGGCCTGGGAAAATTAACCTCTTTGAAAAATGACAATTATAAAAGAATCCTAATGAAACTCAGTTGAACCATATGAAAAGATGTTCAATATCATCTTTCCGTAGAGAATTGTGAAATAAGGAAACATTGAAAAATCACTACACACCTGTTAGAATGAATAAAATATCCAGAAAACTGACAACACCAAGTGTTGTTGAGGGTGTACAAAACAGGAATTCTCATTCATTGTTGGTGGCAAACTCCAACTGGTACAACTAATTTGGAAGACATTTTGACAGTTTCTAGCAAGACTAAACACTCTTATATTAACTGAATGCACTTCTGTTTATCCAAATGTATTGTAACTTATATCCATACAAAAACCTGTGCATGAATGTTTGTAGCAACTTTATTCATAATTGACAAAACTTGGAAGCAACCAAGATGTCTTTCAGTAGGTGAATGGATCAACAAAATGTGGTATATTCAGATAATGGGATATTATTCAGCATTTGAAAGAAATGAACTATCAAGACATAAAAAGATTTGGAAGAAACATAAATGTATATTACTAGGTGAAAAAAGCCGATATGAAAAGGCTACATACTTATAGTATGAATCCAATTATATGACATCTGGAAAAGTGAAAACTGTAGACAAAAAAGATTAGCAGTTGCCAGGGTTTAGAGGAGAGGGAGGGATTAATAGGTAGAGCACAGAGGACTTTTAGGACAGTGAAATTATTCTGTACATTGCTATAATGGTGAACTACATGTCATATATTTGACAAAACCTATAGAAAATACAATCCTAATATAACTTATGGATGTTGACTAATAATTACATATCATTGTATTATAACAATAACAAATGTATCAATCTGGTGGGGGATGCTGGTAGAGGGGGAGGCTTGGCATGCATGATGGTAGGGGGTAAAGGGAACTCTGAACTTTCCATTCAGTTTTACTGTAAATCTGAAACTGCTGTAGAAATAAAGTCAATTAGAATCCATGGAAAATTATTGCATCAAAAATAATGAAATAATATTAAGCTATATCTGCCATGTTCATTTTGTTGAATTCTCAAAATAACTTAAAAGCATTGTTGAATCCACTTAGAGACAAGAAAACTGAGTCAGAAAATTAATTTATCATTTATACAATTAATATTTTCTTTGCACATATTATGTGCCAAGTATTGTATTAAGCATGGAGATACTATAATGAATCAATGTGGATGTTATATTCCAGGGAAGCGAGATGTGTAATAAGGTGCTGCTCTTTGAGCAGGACTTCTTTTACACACTGGAGCATCAGAAGAGCAGGAAAGTTAGAGTGTGCAAGAAACAGTAGGAATAAGCCAGGTCAAAGGAGATGGGAAGAGAGATAAAATTAGTTTTGTCTCTGAGATGAGTATGGGCAAGCTGATTCATTGCTGNATCAGAAGAGCAGGAAAGTTAGAGTGTGCAAGAAACAGTAGGAATAAGCCAGGTCAAAGGAGATGGGAAGAGAGATAAAATTAGTTTTGTCTCTGAGATGAGTATGGGCAAGCTGATTCATTGCTGTTGGTCCAAAACGTCTTTTGGTGTGATGGCCCTCGTGAGATGACTGATATTTTCTTGGGGTTGGGAAGAAGGTGATTGCTTGCTAAATGGACTGGCATGGGAGACTCCTAAACTTTTTCACTTTGCAACATCTTACTCTAGAGAGAAACTTCCAGAGGCTTTGTCCACTGTCAAATAGTAAGTAGTGGAGCCGGTTGCACCCTGGTTTAGTTATAGGACAATCTGTCATATGATGTTCCACCCACTTCCAATAAAATATGCAGATATGTGGATTCTCTTAGCCCCTAGTTAAATATACAGCATTTGATAGGGCCTGCTTTGCAAGGCCTTATAAGATTTGGCTCCTTACTTGCTCTTCATTGGGTTTCCCTCATAGCTCAGTTGGTAAAGAATCTGCCTGCAATGCAGGAGCCCCCGGTTCGATTCCTGGGTCAGGAAGATCCCCTGGAGAAGGGATAGGCTACCCGCTACAGGATTCTTGGGCTTCACTTGTGGCTCAACTGGTAAAGAATCTACCTGCAATGTGGGAGACCTGGGTTCCATTCCTGGGTTGGGAAGTTCTCCTGGAGAAGGGAAAGGCTACTCACTCCAGTATTCTGACCTGGTGAATTCTATCGACCATATAGTCTATGGGGTTGCAAAGAGTAGGACACGACTGAGTGACTTTCACTTTCACTTGCTCTTCATTTTTATCTTGTTCAACTAATTCCCTCACCTACTAGATGTGATTTCAATCATATTGATGGCTGTTGTCCTCTTTCTGGTACACTCTAGTGTCATATTGCTCTCAGGGTTTTTATTGCTGTGTCCTTGGCTTGAAATGATCTTCTTTCAGGTTTTCAAATGGCTAGACTCCTTCTCATCTTTTAAGTTCTAGTGCATGTTTCATCTCCTCAGAAAAGGTTTCCAGATATATTACTCAATTTTGTCTTCTCTTGCAAGTACCTTGATATGTCATTCAATGTCTTATTGCACTAGTTTATGTTTCTATACAATTGATCAGCATCAGAAGTAATGAGTTCTGTTCATTTAGGCATTTATTATTGGTTTCTTCTTCTATACCATAAACTTCATGATTCAGGAATTACATTAGGTGCTCAATAAAACATTGAATGAATGCATAAACACTTGATATGTGTTAGTGACTTCATCTATACTCTAAAGTAAGCTACTGTTTTTTCTTTTATAATTATAATAGTTGTGATTTTGATAGTTCTTAAAACAGAATGAGATAAAGAATGAGATAATGTATATATAAGTGTCTAATTCAGTTCTTAGCACATGGTAGGCAATTAGATATGACTTTTTTTCATTCTTTTGTCAATAAATCTCACTAAAACAGCACACTTGAAATTATTTGGTATAATTAAAATTGGGATATTGTAATCATATATTGTAATTAAATACAATATATTGAAATGATATCTTGGTATTGTATATTATATAGTATGTAATCATTTTATATATTATTTATCATATGTGATATAAGATGTGGTATAATATATATAACATATCATTTTATTATTGTATAATTGTGTTGATGTTATTATATTTAAATATCTCTTATGAGACATGTGTTCTCAAAGTAATATGCCTTCTTAGTGTCTCAAACTATGCTAATCACAATGAGAAAAAAATAAAATTGACTGCTTTAAATTAATATGGAATTTTCTATCTTTACCAACTTATTACCAAAGTTATAATTTTAGTAATAGTTTCATGATTAACTGACACTTCCTACCTTCATGTTCACTGTTTCTAGGAGGAACCCTATGTTCTGTTTAAAAAGTCTGACAAACCTCTTTATGGAAATGATCGATTTGAGGGCTATTGCATTGACCTCCTCAGAGAGTTATCTACAATCCTTGGCTTTACATATGAAATTAGACTTGTGGAGGATGGAAAATATGGAGCCCAGGATGATGCCAATGGACAATGGAATGGAATGGTCCGTGAACTAATTGATCATGTAAGTCCCTTTTCTCATTATTACTACCTTTGGAAGATTTCTATTAGATTTACCTTTTTTGATAGTCAAGGGTTAATAATGTCAAAGAACAGTGATATATTTTAAGTATTTACTTTTTCAATAATGGTATTCAAAGTATATATTATTTTTGTCAGGCATAAAGAATATAAGGGATGAATATAATTCTGTTAGAGACATGTGTCTATCTTAACTAGTAGTCAGTGGTTTAAAATCTTGAAGTTTTGGTCTTGATTTATAAGATGGAATTCAGTTTCTTAACAATGGATTTCACTTTCAATTTCATAATATTAGCTTTCTGATCAATGAAGAGAATGGGTGGTACAAATTCTAAATTTCATGATAAAAATTTTCTGTACTAAGATAAGATACTTATTGTCTTAAAAGATGAAATAAATCTGTACAAAAAATCTAGAATCAAATACTATATAAAAATAAAGCAAGAATATTAAGCATATTAGAGCAGAATGACAGATTTTTTTTTCTATTTTTTAAAATTTATTTTAATTGGAGGCTAATTAAAATATTGTAGTGGTTTTTACCATACATTGACATGAATCAGCCACAGGTGTACATTGTTCCCCATCCTGAGCCCCCCTAGATATTTTATTTTTCAAGAAATAATTTAGACATTTATTCTTGGTCAGGAAAACATTATTTCATAATTTGGCAGTTGACAGTGTCAATTAATTCATCTATTTGAAAAAACTTTTAAACATCATAACATAGTATTTGACTATGTGTTTTGTAACATTTAAGCATATTTTGACATTTTCCTTAATATTACAACACATAATTATTGTAAAGAATTCTGCAAAGTTATTTAAATAATTTTCTTTTAAAAAACATTGTGATTTGTATCCTAAACAAAAATTCTTACTTAATGGAAGTAGCAAACATAGGCAGTTTTCAAAACATTTTGAAGATACTTTGCCATTAATTACAAAGTTCATCATCAAGAAAGAGAATAAAGGAGATCTGTCTAGCTATTTACCTATCTATCTGTCAAGAAAGGGATATTAGACAATGATTAGGAACAGATTAACATTTTAAAAATACCTTTTTCTTCAAAGTGCAGTGAATGAAAGTTGCTTAGTTGTGTCCAACTGAGCGACCCCATGGACTATACAATCCATGGAATTCTCCAGGCCAGAATAATGGTATGGGTAGTCTTTCCCTTCTGCAGGGAATCTTCCCAGGTCTCCCGCATTGCAGGCAGATTCTTTATCAGCTGAGCCACAAGGAAAGCCTAATTTTCTTCAGAATTTCAGTATATTTCTTTTAATGATTTGGGATTTACTCTGTAAGTTCCTGAACTTCTAGACTTGATCAGTTATTTCTCACAAATTCTCCTTATATGGGACATTTATATTTTAACTTTGTAAAATACATTGAAAGATCATGAACATATACATGATTTGGAATCAAATATAAAACCTTAAACTGTCTGTTATATAAATATAATAACTTTCATAAACCTGACTCAAGCTGTTTTAAGTAATTTATTGGTTTGCATCTCTGTGAAGTCTAGAGGTAGTGTGGCTGGATTTGGAATATTAATATTTATTTCTCTTATCTTTTGCCTCAATTTAGTTCTCACTTCCTTATATTTGTCTTACTCTTAGACATGTGCCTCTCAATAAGTGACAACACTTGCTACCAGCAGTTCTAGATCAATCATCTAGGTAGAAATTCAGCACCTGGAAGGTATAATTTTATAAAAAACTCCAAATTCAGTTTTATTTGCCTGACCTATGTGTGTGTACATAGTCACTCAGTCATGTCCAACTGTTTGCACCTGTTTGGAAGGGTCCTCAAAGCAGGGGATTCTCCAGGCAAGACTACTGGAGTGGGTTGCCATTTCCTTCTCCAGGGGATACTTCCAACCCAGGGATAAAACTGACATCTCCTGTGTCTCCTGCATTGCAGGCAGATTCTTTACCTGCTGAACCTGAACTATTGGGGAAGCCACTTCCTGACCTTTGTGAGTGCTAAGTCACTTCAGTTGTGCCCAACTCTCTGTGACCCCATGGACTGTAGCCCGCCAGGCTCCTCTGTCCATGGGATTTCCCAGGCAAGAGATGCTGGAATGGGTTGCCATTTCATAAACTAAATTCTGTGCCAATTATCCAATTCAGAGGGAAATGGTTTTCTTATTGATTATTCTGGGCATATACTCACAAGAAACTAGGAGGTAGGATCAATACCTTAATCAATTAATTATTAATTAATTAATTTTTTGGCTGCCTCCTGGCTTAGTTGCAGCATGAAGGATCTTCATAGTTCCCTCTGGGGCGTGTGGGACCTTAGTTCCCTGACAAGGGATCAAACCCACTTTCACTGCATTGGAAGGTGGATTCTCAACCACTGGACCACCAGTGAAGATTAAAACCATATAGATTTAGAGTTGGGAAACTGGGTTTTCAGAGGAAAATTAGGTTGCTTATACTTGAAGAAAGTGGACAGGATGCTATACAGACCAATACAATGAATATTTACTATAGAGTTCTATGAATGAATAACTTATGGGAGACTTTTATTTTAGTCAAAACACAAAAATGTTGTATCACCAATGCCTTTATGGCAAACCAATCCCTTTATGCTTTATATTTGTCATGTCTGCTTAGTTAATGTTCTTTTATTTAAGTTTTTTGAGATCCAAAATTGATTAGAAATTTTATGTTTCTAGAATTTACCTCTTGATTTTGTACCTACACATTTCTTTAAGGAAACTATGGAGTAGAAAATGAAGGTGAGGTTATATGAATAGAGCTATGGCATAAAAGATAACAATACACCAAATGAAGGAATAGTAAGGAAGGTTTTATTATTTGATATTTATTTCACAAAAAGTATTTTTGGTATTGAGTTGAGACCATTGATGAAGCTTTTAAGTTATTTAATCATTTTATTCTCAGTGTCATACCTGTCACTTCACTTTCTATTTTTTTCTGTGCTAAAGTACTATCCTATTTTAATATACCCTTTCTTGATACTTTCCTCATGACACATACTGTTGGCTTAGCCTTAGTGAATGTTTAGCATATGTCACATTAAACTAAAATGATGACTGTAGTCAGTGTATTTTTCCTTATACCACCTCAACTTAGTTTGCATGTTCATGAATATGCTAATTTAAATGTAAAGTAGTAACTGAACTACTAATCAACACCCTGAACTTCTCCCACTCCTTACTTTTCTTAGATAAAATTATATCCTCTTTCAGAGCTTGATTACCATTCTTATTCTGAAATTTCTCCATTTTCCATCTTCAGCCCTTGAGCTTTCAATGCATATATCTAACTACCTCTGGTATATTTTCCACATGAATGTCTCATAAGCACCTCAAAGGAAGGATGTTCCAGGCTGAAGGTATTCATTTTTTCTGAATCTGCTCCTTCTGAAGAGTTTTATATATCAATAAGTGGCATAAAGAATTCAACAGTTTTCCCAAGCCAAAAATGTAGTATCATGTTTGCATCGTATATTAAGTGTTGCCTTAAATGATTCTGAGAGCTCCCCGCTTCTCTCCAGCTCCATAGTCACGTGGATTAAGAGTCCCATATGAGAACTGTTTTCTTCTAATCTGGTGAAAGTGTCTTTAGTCGCTCCGTTGTGTCCAACTCTTTGCTACCCCGTAGACTGTATAGCCTGCCAGGCTCCTCTGTCCATGGAATTTTCCAGGCAAGAATACTAGCTAGAGTGGATAGCTATCCTCTTCTCCAGGGGATCTTCCTGACCCAGGGATCAAGCCCAGGTCTCCTGCATTGCAGGCAGATGCTTTACCATCTAAGCCACCAGGGAAGCTCTCTAGTCTGGTAGCTATTCATATCTTCAACTAGAGGCTTATTTAAGAAAGATAAATCTGATCATGCCCCTTCTTTGCATCCAATCTCTCAGTAGTTTTCACTGTCCGAAGGATATAGGACCAACTGTATAATGTATTTACAAGCCCTTCTGCATTGATTATTGCTTATCTTCTGTGGAAGTCTTTTTGACCCTTCAGACAGACTCTCAGACCTTCTCCACCCTGCTTTCTGTACTGGGAGGTTGTTCTACATAGAATAAATCAACAGAGCTTCCCAACCAAAGGTCCAAGTCAGAGAGGAGAGTAAGGTTAGGGTGTTTATTTTGCTCCTTGTTCCATTCTCTGAGATATTGGCTTAGATTGGCTTGTGTCCTCACATTGTATGCAGGTTTCTTGCAATCATGTCTGCTCTACACAAATCTCTGTTCTGCTCTCAGTTCCAATTTATACCCTACATAGTTAGGGGTGTTTACAGCTTAGCTGCTAATGGCTTTGGGTTCCTACACCAAATCTTAAAATTCCCTTTACCAGTTCCTACACCAAATCTTAAAATTCCCTCTCTAGACCTACCTGATCTGAAACTGTGGTGAAATCTGGCAATCTCTATTTTAACAAGCCTCCCTGATGATATTCTGGTGTTCTCTGAAGTTTGAAAATCGTTAGTCCTTTTATAAATAAATCCTGCTCACGTATCCTCATATGAGTATGCACCTATTTTCTGTTGAGACTCTAACTGGCACACCTTTNCTAGACCTACCTGATCTGAAACTGTGGTGAAATCTGGAAATCTCTATTTTAACAAGCCTCCCTGATGATATTCTGATGTTCTCTGAAGTTTGAAAATCGTTAGTCCTTTTATAAATAAATCCTGCTCACGTATCCTCATATGAGTATGCACCTATTTTCTGTTGAGACTCTAACTGCACACCTTTGTGTTTTCATCTGTTCTGCTCTCTCCACCCACATGTGGGCTTTTTTCATTCTTCTCCTCCTTTGCCTCCAGTCTAGTTGTCTGTCTCCAGAACTCTCCTCAACCCCCATCTAGCTCACCTCATCCAAACTACTTTTACTCAGCTTCAGAAACACTTCACCAGTGAGGCTTCCTCACCTGATCCCAGGAAGTCCACCTACAATGAGTTTCCACATAATTCTTATTGTATAACACCATTACACT